GGCATGGGATGTAAACATATGCATTGTTGAATTACAATATGTGCAATGCAGAACAAAAATGTAATCCGACTCTAACAATTAGGGATCAGGATACCTTGATTTTTTTATAAAAAAAGCATAGGGCTTCAGTTTGAGGTAATTTCTGAAATTGAAAAGGCACAAAATGAAAACACTATTCACAATAACTGAATCTCTGAAATTGAAAACACTGAAAACGAACGAAATTCGACACTCATATATTGAGATTCACTTGAGGACTCAAGGATATTAAATCGGTGACTAATCGTACACTGAGCACAAATTGAAAATACAACCACGCATGCCTCACCTTCTAATGTGGCAAAGAGGAAGTAGAAGGGCTCCTGTTTGTCCCGGGTGGCGGAGTGGGACGGCGGCGACGGCGGCCGTCTCCGCGAGCACGCAGATCCCGATGCCGCGGCGGCACACGCTCCGCCGCTGGGTATCTCGAGCATGTGCGGCCGCATGGCTGCCACGGGATCCACGTCCTGCGTGACCACCAGCGGCGGCTTGGGCATGTTCTTGTACCCCGGCGACCGGCCTCGACGACGCTTGCCGCCGGCCCGTCGACTCCTGCTGCCCCGTTCGTCACAGTGAGGGAAGGCCACCGCTGCCGTTGTCGAGGTGGGGGAGGGCCACCATGGCCGCGCGTCGGGGTGGGGGAAGATCGCGTGGTTGGGGCGCCGCCCGATCCATGGGGTGGGGGAAGGGGGTGCCATGGAACGGTGACGCGGCGAGCTGAGGGCGACGATGGGGGCGCGGTGGATGCGGACGACTGTGGCCGGCCGCGCGTGGAGCGAGGATAAGGGTGCCCGCGCGATGGCGATGATGGCCGCGCAAGATCGGTGGTATTGCGAAACTGCCGCCGGCGAACGAATCACGGGAGCGAGGTTTCCTTTTGAGCTCTTTCCTTTTGTCGCGAGGGGACGGGCGTACGAGCGTCGACTCATGGGATCGCACGGGGAGGGCAAGAAGGTGAGGCGAACTTTTTGTCGCACCAAAATGGTGTCTCCTCTTTACTCTTTTTAGTTGTGAGAGATGCTGGCCACAGTTCCCAAAATATTCTAACAGAAAGAATGGAACACCCATACTCAACAAGACCTCATCTTCTGAGCTCCATGGACTGGATTTGCTCTGTGAGAACCTCAAGGCTGAAATCATATCTGGCTGTAGCTATGGACCCCACCTTATCAGGCTTCTGCAGCGTGTTTCAGTGAATCTGTCGAAGAAAAACATTAAACTCACCAAAGTTAATTAGAGTTTTTGTTATCCCAGGCCTTCTATGTGGCTACTCACCGAATGGTTCATGTGGAATTTATGTACACATTATAGGCTCCCTTCAGCGGCACTAAATCGAAGCCTATACTTTTGACTACTTTCTAAGTGAAGCAGGCCTTTGCTCTATTGACTATATATGCTATTGCCTTTTACTCTTTTTCCTTGCTTAAGGATGTGATTGCAAAATATCTGCTTTACTGTGTCTGTCGGTGTCTGCTGTCCACTTACATGGACAAAGCTAGCTTAAGTTGTTACATATTGGGAAACTGTTTCCTATTATAAAATATCGCAATCTTGAAAAATGGGTTCGCAAAGTGCATGCTTTCTTCTTCTTCTTTTTTTCCCTTCCTGGGCCTTTGGGGACTAGGCAGAGGTAACTACCTACGAAAACTATTCACCATCTCTCAACTTCATCATTGTTTTTGCCATCACACTGCAATGATCTTGTGTATGGGTTCCTTACATGGATGTTCAAAATATCTTGAGCACCTTTGCTTTGACATACATGTTCTTCTATGTGTCTTCTCCCCTTATGTTTCACATGTGGAATTTCTTGCATATTATGGGTTCCCTTTAGATGCATTAGATCGTGAGCCTATACTTTTCACCAATTTATAAGTGTGATGCAGGTCTTTGCTCTATTGACTATATTATATGCTACTGATTTTAACTCTTTTTTCCTTGCTTCTGGTGCTTAACAGTATGTACTCTGTGTATCTGTGTCTCTTGGCTACTTACATGTTTGCTTCTGTGTTTTCCTACTGAAACTATCTACAATTATAGAACATCCCGATCTTGAAAATGGCACCGGAAATCGCAAGTTTTCTTCTGTTCGTTTCTCCCTGGGGCTCTTTGGAACTTGGCAGAGAGGTACATACTTTAGGAAACTATCAAATTCATCAGCGTTTTTGTCATTAGTGTGCTTTTGTCTTGAGCCCCTCCGCTTCGGCTTTGACATGATTTCAAAACATCTTTCTTTGGACTGAAAACTCTGTGCTGACTGCTGACTACAGACGAGCTGAAACTGTCTAGCTGGTTCACCCTCTTTTGCTTCTGCAGTGCACAAGATCTGTAATCAAATCCCGTGGAGTGTTTCCTGTTCCAATTTCAGTTGGTTTTCTCGTGCAATCAAACCTTGACATGTGTACAAATCCCCAGGAACGCAAATGCGGGTGATGTGAGGATTTCAGTCGGTGAAACAAAATTTGACTAAATTTATTTAAGAAAGCAACAGAAAAACCGGTCGATTGACAACCACGCAGACGCAGTGCACCAAACACCGGCGACAGTGACGCACTGATAGAGCTTCAGGCGAATTAGGCATTCTTTTACAACATTTTTTCTTCACTCGTGTGATGGCATTTGGCAAAGCAAACAGATCAATCACTGGGCCAAATTGCAGCTTTTGTTTAGTGATTTTTAAAAAGTAATTTACCCTTAGGCCCTGTTTGGTTCCCGAGAACCGAGAGGAATTGAAAAATAATCTAATAGTGAAATGAGAAACACTTCCTAGATATTAGTTTCAATAAAGAGACCAAACAGGCCTTCATATAAAAGTCACACAGTCATGTGCCGCATCACGCCCAACAAGGACACACTGCGCGCGCAGCGAGATATCTGAACTCCATGGTTGCCAGTACACAGTAGCATAAAGATTATTTTGCAAGCATAAGAACTTTGTTCTTCATGTTCCACCATACTGACTTTTCTTATTAAAAAAAACAGAATTTAGCAAATATAAAATATGAAGTCAGTTCATTGGCACATAAAGGATTAGAAAACAAAATCTGAAAACCAGGTTGTTGGAAAATCCATTGAATAAGGACTATTGTGGCATCATTTTCTTCATATTGCTATACCCTTTTTTTGCGAGACTCAATATAGATGTAGACGCTCATATGACGCGTACGTCGCCTGCCAATGAAAGAATAATGCCGCTAAATCCTAGAATAAATCTAGAAAAATATGAGCACCGGTGTCAAGTTTGAGCACAACTCACTTCGTCCTTCGTACATTATTTAATGGATATGTTATTTAGTAAATATATTTTAGGATTTAATAAATAAAGTGATTTAAAGATATACTTAACCCTCAATTTGTCTTATAGTAGTGAACAATTGCTAAGAAACCGATGTCATACCAAAAGATTTTTGAAAATTGAATCCATTCAAAATGTATGACATTTTGTTTATCCTAAATTGATATCCTAAGTTTAAAAAGTTTATAAAAAATGTAGAAACTTCTTGCAACACTAGATTAGCACTAGATACACTAAATGTAATCAAATTTAAATGAGTCTTAACAGGACAAACATGAAAAAACCATATATTTTTAATCGAGGAATTATACACTATGCATGCATATAATTTTAACTAATAATTAGCCAAAAATTCATAAAGTTTGGTTTTAATCACAATCTGTCTACTAATTTCGAGCGGATGAATTTTTTTAGAGAACTCACTAAAAAAAACATATGGTTAAATTTTTCAGAATTACTCGACGACAGGCGACTGATTTTTCGCATTCACATCCGTCACCTGCCCACGAGCTCAACCTGCGCCCGTGGCCTCCCCTTCTCTCTCATCTCTGGCGACTCCCTGGCGGCCGCGCCCGTGCCCTACTCCGGCGAGCTCCTCCCCATGCCCCACTCGCACCCGTCCCCGTGCCCGGAAGCCACGTGTCTGCGCCGGCCCCACCCCCTTCTTCCCCAACTCCGACGGGCTGAGAAGAAGGGGCTCGGGGGGGAGGTAGGGCGGCACGGTAGTGGGGACAGTGGCCGGATGATTAGGTCCCCTGGCGGCGGTGGAGGCGGGGAAGCTCCATGGCGGGAGCTTCGAGGCCATGTCAGGCTAGGTCACCAAAGTTCCATGGCCAGCCCAGGTCAGGGCGGGGGTGGGGAGGGGGGAGGGTTGGGGGGTTGGGGAGAGGCTGGGGTGAAAGACGGCGGCCACCGCGAGCGTCCTAGGATTACGCTAGAGCTCCACGGCCGTCGCCGCGGCCACGAAGCTCTGGTGCAACCCTAGCGCGCCACTGTGGGGCGGTGGACCGCAGCGGGGACAAGTACGAGGCTTAGGAGGGGCAACGGAGGGGGAGAAGACGCCAGAGAGGGAGAAGCCACTCGGTCTGGGAGGAAGAAGGACGCTGGGAAGGAAGAAGGGGAGGAGTGGAGACAGAAGATATTCGTGAGATTTCAGTCACCTGCCCTCTAAGACATACACTAATTTTTTTCTGTTTATTAAAAAACAGACTATTCCTCCGTAGCGGAAAGTTATGGAATAAAATAAAACTCTTTTTTTGAGCAGAAAATAAAATAAAAACTCGGTAGTAGCAATTGCCAATTGGGCCGGCCCAAAACTGCTCGGCGTAGTGTCCTCTTCCCCCACCCATCCCCTGTCTCGCCGTCGAGGGTTTAGGCACCGCTCGTACCGGCGCCGCCCTTCTCACGGCTGCGTCTCTTCCGGCTGGAGCGGCTCCTACCCCCACGGCAGGCTCAGGCTGCGGCGCTCGGTAAGCCGTAAGCCCCATTCCCACACCGCCCCATCTTTCGCCCCATTCCCTTACCCCTGACTGGTTTGCTTTCGACCCTCGTGAACCCTTCTTGATTTCAATCTTCCGAGCAAAATGCTTCGCCATTTTTGGAAATCTTGCGCCGTCTTTGATCTAACAGTGCGACTCATCAAGTAATCGATCTATCAGGGCACGCCATGGAGCTTGGGGATGCCTTCAGGAAGCCCGCCCGCGCAAGTGGTGTCGTCGGCGGATCCTCGGCCGGCGGCCCGGACCGGCTGAGCTCTCTGCCGGACTGCCTCCTCCATACCATCATGTCCTCCTTGAAAGCTCGGCAGGCTGTCCAGACATGCGTGCTGTCCACACGGTGGAGGCACCTCTGGCGCTCAGTGCCGTGCCTCGACATCGACTTTGATGAGTTTAACAAGGCGCCCCCTTCTGACGACAGCTCTAGCTCCGACGATGGTACCTTTGATTCCGACAGTGACCGCTGGAATGATGATCCTGACGCTGACGACGACGACGACAACATCCACAACGACTGGGAGCACTTCACCAAGTACAAGGACTGGGAGGATTTTGAGGATTTTGCCGTGACACTGATACGCCGCTGTAACATTGCACAGTTGGATTCATTCCAGCTGCATACTGATGGAAGCAGAGCACCGGAGTTTGGCAATAGAGTGGCAGCAGGATGGCTCCGTCGCGCCATGAAATACTGCACTCCTGATCATGCCAATCAGCAGGGATTGAGCTCTGGTTCTTGGCGCCTCAAAAGGCTACATCTCTGCCATGTACTTCTTGATGACCATTTTGTGAAGTGTGTTAGTTCAGTGTGCCGCTCTTTGGAGGATTTGGAGCTGTACAATTGCAGTTGTGAAATTCAGTCAATCACCTCCCAATCGCTGAAGACCCTGGTTCTGAAAAGATGTGGATGGCGCAATCTTTCTGAGATTATATCGCCCACACTGAAGACATTGGTTATTGATGGCGGCTCAAATATAGGTGCCTGTGTGCTAGTTATCTTGGCCCCCTCTGTGGTGTATCTGCATTTGGCTATGCGTGTTGACTACTTTAGTGGTGGTGTTTCATTAAACGAGGTGCCATCTGTTGCCAAGGCTTTGATTCATCTATGGTATCACAAATATGTTTATGCCAGAAGTAAACTTGCTGGCGATCAATTCAAGCTTCTCTGTAGCATATCTAATTCGACAAATTTAGAATTGTTGGGTGTTGGGACAACAGTATGCCTTCACTGTCTCTTGCAATGTTCCATTTTATTCACTCCAATAATGTTACTGTGCTATCTAATCTAATGTGCTATAGGTGCTTGGTAAGGAACCCAAATTCCAAGAATTCAAGAACCTGAGGAGCTTATTGCTGGACAGATGTGATCTCAGTGATGACTTCAAGACATTGGTATTCTTTCTTCGGAGTTCTCCTATTCTTGAGAAGCTCACTTTACGGTGCTGCGAGGTATACTGTTGTTTGGTTTTTAACTTACTTAATGAACATTGTTCCTTGTCTTACATCTTTTATGCTGGCCACAGTTCCCAAAATATTCTAACAAAAAGAAAGGAACACCCATACTCAACAAGACCTCATCTTCTGAGCTCCGTGGACTGGATTTGCTGTGTGAGAACCTCAAGGTTGAAATCATATATAATAATGGCTATGGACCCCACCTTATGCAGCTTCTGCTGCGCATCTCAGTGAATTTGTCGAAGAACAACGTTAAACTCACCAAAGTTAATTAGTGTTTTTGTTATCCCAGGCCTTCCATGTGGCATTTCACCTAATGGTTCATGTGGAATTTATGTGCACATTATAGGCTTCCTTCAGATGCACTAAATCTCAAGCCTATACTTTTGACTAATTTCTAAGTGAAGCAGGCCTTTGCTCTATTGACTATATATGCTATTAATTTTTTACTCTCTTTCCTTGCTTAAGGATATGATTGTCTCTGTAAAATGTCTGCTTTAATCCCTATGTGCTGTGTGTCAATGTCCACTGCCCATCGTCCACTTACATGGACCAAGCTAGATTAAGTTCTTACTTATTGGGAAACTGTCTCCTATTATAAAATATTGCAAGCTTGAAAAATAGGTTCAGAAATAGCTTGTTTTCTTCTGTTTTTTGGCCTTCTGGGGAATAGGCAGAGGTACATACTTTCGAAAACTACACACCATCTTTAATTCATCAGGGTTTTTGCCTTCACTGTGCAATTATCTTGTGTGTGGATCCCCTAGATCTATGTGCAAAATATCTTGAGCCCCTCTGCTTTAACATGCATGTCCTTCTATGTGGCTTCGCCTTTTGGTTCACATGTGGAATTTACTTGCACATTATGGGTTCCCTTCAGATGCCCTAGATCGCAAGCCTATATTTTTAACCAATTTGTAAGTGATGCAGGTATTTGCTCTATTGATTATATGTGCTATTGATTTTTACTCTCTTTTTTTCCTTGCTTCTGGTGCTTTTAACACTATGTACTCTGTGTATCCATGACTCTTGTCTACTTACATGTTTGCTTCTGTGTTTTCCTACTGAAACTGTCTCCAATTATAAAACATTGCAATCTTGAAAAATGACACCGGAAATCACATGTTCTCTTTTTCTTTTCTCCCTGGGGCTCTCTGGGACTTGGCAGACAGGTACATACTTTGGAAAACTGTACACCAACTGAAATTCATCAGCGTTTTTGTCACCAGTGTGCAGATATCTCAAACTATACACCAACTCAAACTACATGTATGTGCAAAATATCTTGTGACCCTCCGCTTTGACATGATTCCAAATCGTATATCGACAAGCTTTCATCTGACTACAGATGAACTGAGAACTTTGTGCTGACTGCTGACTTCAGACGAACTGAAACGGTCTGGCTGGCTCACCCTCTTTTGTTTCTGCAATGCACAAGATCTGTAACCAAATCCCGTGTAATTTGAGTGTTTTCTGTTCCAATTTCAGTTGGTTTTCTCACGCAGCTCCATTTGACAAACTAATGCCTTCCTAATGAAAAACAGGCTGTCAAGTCTGCTCGGGAAAAAAAAACAAAAAACAAACTGAAAACTTTGTGTTGACTGCTGACTGATGCTGGTGGCTTGCTCACCCTCTTTTGCTTCAGTTGGTTTTTCCGTGCAATCAAACTTTGACATGTGTTCAAGTCCCCTAGAACGCAAATGTGGGTGATGTAAGGATTTCAGTCGGTGAAACAAAATTTGACTAGAAATTTGAAAAGGCAACCAAAGAAACAGAGAGAGTTTCAGGCGAATTAGGTCTTTCTTTTACAACATTTTATCTTTCACTCGTGTGATGGCACCTGGCAAATCAAACAGATCAATCACTGGGCCAAAGTGCAGCATTGTTAAGTGCTCTATAAAAAGTAATTTACCCACATATAAAAGCACGCACACAGTCATATGCAGCATCACAGCCAACAAGGCCACCCCAAAACAGAGAATAAATCTGAACTCCATGGTTGCAAGTTCACAACAATAGTCTAAAGATTGTTTTGCAAACATAACAATTTTGTTCTCCATGTTCTACCATACTGACTTGTTTATTCCAAAAAAAAAGGATTTTGCAAATATAAAAGATGAAGTTAGTTCATTGGCACATAAGGATTTGTAAAACTGAAAAAAGATATAAAAACATGTCGTTGTAAAATCCATTGAATCAGGATTATTGTGACAATATACCATTTGAACAGGTGTGATGCCCATTTAAAAAAAAACTATGCAATTGAAAACTTTTTTTTTCGCAGGAATTCAGGAGACCTGCACATCTTTTCTATCAAGAGAGAAAATGTTGTCGAAACCTTCATCTAGGATTGAATAACTAAAGTTTCTTTAAAGGTGTAGTTGACTCTCAATTTCTCTTACAGTAGTGAAAAATTGCTAACAAATCAATGTCATATCGAAAGATCTTTAAGACTGAGTTCACTCGTATAACTATTATTGTTCTCTCCGTTCTAAAATGTAAGGCATTTTGTTTGTCCTAAGCGGAATTTGTTTCTTCTAAATTTAACCAAGTTCATAAAAAACATATCAACATCTTACAACACTAACAACTTATTCGGCTCGACTTGTCTTGGCTTGTTTCACCTTGTTTTAGCTTATTCTCTCTCACAGAACACTATTGAATCAGCTAAAACCAGCCAGAACCAGCCAGTACATAGTAGTTTTGTGTACCAGCTGAACGGGCTGTAAATTAGTTGCATTAAATACACCAAATTTAATCAAACTTAAATAAAGGCATGTTTAGATACCATGAGCAAATTTTAGCTTAAATTAGCTCTATTGTATCCAAACAAAGAGGCTAATAGGTGGGTTAATTTTTTAGCCAAGTCTTCAACTACTAGCCAACCATATATAATTTAGACAAATTTATAGCCCAACTAAGAACTAGCGGCATCAAACATGCCCTAAATCTAACTTAGGACAAACTTAAAACATCTTGTAATTTTCAACTAATTATTAGCCAAGATTTTATGAAGTTTGATTTTAATCACAATACGTCTACTAATTTCGAGCGGAGGGATTACTTTACAGACCTTGCAAAAAATTAAAATATGTTTCTTTAGGAGAATTACAGACTAATCCTCCGTAGCCAAAAATCATGGATTAAAAACTCCTTCTCAGCTACTGGGCCGGCCCAGAACTGCTCGGCGTTGTGTGCTCCTCTTCCCCAACTCTCTCGCCGTCGAGCATCCCCACTCGCGCCGCCGGCGCCGCCCTTCTAACGTCAGCGTCTCCCCCCACGGCAGGCTCAGGGCGCGCTCGGTAAGCCTCATTCCCCTACCGCCAATATTTCGCCCCGTTCCCGTACCCCTGAGGCCCTGATTTGTTTGATTTCGGCCCTCGTGAACCCTTCTTCATTTCAATCTTGCGATGAGAACATGCTTCTAACTCAGCAAATGCTTCGCCAATCTTGCGCCGTCTCCGATCTAGGAGAGCGAGCGACTCATCTAGTAATCGAACAGGATTTTGTGGTGTTTTGTGTAGATGGATTTATTTTTAATCTTTTTATTTATTTGTTCTGCGGGTTCTTTGGTCCTCTAACGTGGGGAACTGCTCCGAGCAGGGCACGCCATGGAGCCTGAGGATGCCTTCAGGAAGCGCGCCCGCGCAAGTGGTGTCGTCGGCGGAACCTCGGCCGGCGGCCCGGACCGGCTGAGCTCTCTGCCGGACTGCCTCCTCCATACCATCATGTCCTCCTTGAAAGCCCGGCAGGTGGTCCAGACAAGCGTTCTGTCCACACGGTGGAGGCACCTCTGGCGCTCGGTGCCGTGCCTCGACATCGACTTTGATGAGTTCAGCAACACGGCGCCCGCTTCTGACGTCTTCGATAGCAACGAGAGCGACGATGATACCTCTGATTCCGACAGTGATAACTGGCACAACCACAAGGACTGGGAGCACGTCACCAAGTACAAGGACTGGGAGGATTTTGAGGATTTTGCCGTGACCCTGATGCGCAGCTGTAACATTGCACAGTTGGATTCATTCCGGCTGCATGTTGTCCAAAGCCGAGCACCGGAGTTTGGCAATAGAGTGGCAGCAGGATGGCTCCGTCGTGCCATGAAATACTGCACCCCAGATCGTGCCAGTTATCAGGGATTGAGCTCCGGTTCCTGGCGACTCAAAAGGCTGCATCTCTGCCATGTACTTCTTGATAATAATTTTCTGAAGCATGTTAGTTCAGTGTGCTGCTCTTTGGAGGATTTGGAGCTGGACGATTGCAGTTGTCAAATTCAGTCAATCACCTCCCACTCGCTGAAGACCCTGGTTCTGAAAAAATGTCGATGGCGCAATCTTTCTGAGATTATATCGCCCACACTGAAGACATTGGTTATTGATGGTGGCTCAAATACTGATGCCTGTGTGCTTGTTATCTTGGCCCCTGCTCTTGCATATCTGCATCTGGCTATGCATATTACCCTCTTTCGTGGTGGTGTTTCATTAAACGAGGTGCCATCCATTGCCAAGGCATTGATTCATCTACGGGGTCACAGACATTGTTCTGTCAGAAGTAAAATTGGTGGCGATCAATTCAAGCTTCTCTGTTGCATATCTAATTCGACAAATTTAGAATTGTCGGGTGTTGGGACAACAGTATGCCTTCACTGTCTCTTGCAATGTTCCATTTTATTCACTCCAATAATGTTACTGTGCTATCTAATCTGATGTACTACAGGTGCTCGGTAAGGGATCCAGATTCCAAGAATTCAAGAACCTGAGGAACTTATTGCTGTGCAACTGTGATCTCAGTGATGACTTCAAGACATTGGTATTCTTTCTTCGGAGTTCTCCTATTCTTGAGAAACTCACTTTGCGTCACTGCGTGGTATACTGTTGTTTGATTTTTAACTTACTTAATGAACATAGTTCATTGTCTTACATCTTTTATGCTGGCCACAGTTCCCAGAATATTCTAACAAAAAAAAGGGAACGCCCATACTCAACAAGACCTCATCTTCTGAGCTCCATGGACTGGATTTGCTGTGCGAGAACCTCAAGGTTGAAATCATATATGGCAATGGCTATGGACCCCACCTTATCAGGCTTCTGCGGCGTGTTTCAGTGAATCTGTCGAAGAACAACATTAAACTCACCAAAGTTAATTAGTGTTTTTTTTATCCCAGGCCTTCTATGTGGCTTCTCACCTCCCATGTGGAATTTATGTGCACATTATAGGCTCCCTTCAGAGGCACTAAATCGAAGCCTATACTTTTGACTACTTTCTAAGTGAAGCAGGCCTTTGCTCTATTGACTATATATGCTATTGTCTTTTACTCTTTTTCCTTGCTTAATGATGTGATGGCCTCTGTAAAATATCTGGTGTAAGCCCTATGTACTGTCAGTGTCTGCTGTCCACTTACATGGACAAAGCTAGCTTAAGTTGTTACGTATTGGGAAACTGTTTCCTATTATAAAATATCACAATCTTGAAATATGGGTCCGCAAATCGCATGTTTTCTTGTGTTTGTTTTTCTTCCTGGGCCTTTGGGGACTTGGCAGAGGTACATACATATGAAAACTATACACCATCTTGAATTCATCATTGTTTTTGCAGTCACTTTGCAGTTATCTTGTGTATGGGTCCCCTACATATATGTGCAAAATATCTTGAGCCCCTTTGCTTTGACATACATGTTCTTCTATGTGTCTTCTCACCTTATGTTTCACATGTGAAATTTCTTGCATATTATGGGACTAGATCACAAGCCTATACTTTTGGCCAATTTCTAAGTGATGCAGGTCTTTGCTGTATTGACTATATATGCTATTGATTTTTACTCTTTTTTTCCTTGTTTCTGGTGCTTTTAACACTATGTACTTTGTGTATCTCTGTCTCTTGTGTACGTACAAGTTTGTGTCAGTTTTTTCCTACTAAAACTGTTTCCAGTTATAAAGCATCGCAATCTTTAAAAAATGGCACTGGAAACTGCTTGTTTTCTCTTGTTCTTTTCTCCCCGGGGCTCTTTGGGATTGGGCAGCGAGTGCGAGGTAGTACATTCCAAACAAAATTTCACAACCATGCAGTGCACAAAGCACCGGTGACAATGATGCACCGATAGAGTTTCAGGCGAATTAGGCCTTCTACAACATGTTTTTCACTCGTGTGATGGCATGTGGCAAAGGAAACCGATCAACCACCTTATTCTCCTCATCCATTTCATTTTGGGTCAAGAAGGTGGGAAAGCGCCTTTCTATTGTCCCAAAGTGCACCATTATTCAAAAAAGTAATTTACCCACATATAAAAAGTCATACACAGTCATATGCCGCATCACACCCAACAAGTCCACCCCAAACAATAGTAGCATAAAGATTGTTTTGCAAACATAACAATTTTGTATTTGTACTCCATGTTGTACCACATTGACTTGCTTATTCATAAAAAAGATTTTTGCAAATATAAAAGATGAATTGGCACATAAGGATTTGCAAAAAGAAAAAGAAAACAAGATCTGAAAGCAAGTTGTTGGAAAATCCATTGAACCAGGATTATTGTGTGGCAGCATTCTCTTCATATTGCTATACCATTTAAACAGATATGATGACCAAAAAAATACAAATAAAAATCCCTTAGTACTCTTGTAAGCAATCGAAGGTGAAACCTAACATTTCTTTTTCTCAAATTCTTAGGAGACCTGCACATCTTTTATATATCAAGAAAGAAAATGTTATTTGAAGAAACCTCGTCAGTTTTCTATAGGTGTATTTCTGGATTTAATATAAAAAAGTGTCTTTAAAGGTGTACTTGACCCTCAATTTGTATTACAGTAGTGAAAAATTGCTAAAAAATCAATGTCATATCAAAAGACCTTTAAAAGACTAAATTTGTTCATATACTACCTCCATTTGAAGTTATAAGACGTTTTTCCTTTTATGGAGATATATTGCTTCTACTGTGGTATAGTATATATATAAGTATATAGCAAAAATTATGTATCTAGAAAAGCTAAAATATCTTATAATTTGGAATGGATGGAATAGCTTTTATTTTCCTCATGAATGACATTTTGTTTATCATAAATTGCAGAATCATCTAAGTTTAACCAAGTTTATACAAAATATATAACAACAGCTTAACACGCTAAATAAAATTATTTAGTTGCATTAAATAAACCCAATTTAATCAAACTTAAACAAGTCTAACTTAGGACAAATCTAAAACACCATACGTTTTTTAATCGAAGAATTTTATACTTTGCATGCATATAATTTTAACTAATTACTAGATATGTGCCCGTGAGTTGCACGATGGCCTCGAATTTTGTCCACATCTACGCGAAGGATTTGTTCATTTTGCGAAAGCAATAAAAAAACTATTAAACGATTTTGCATTGGAAACCTAAACTATTTCCAAATGCATTTACGCCTTTTCATCGTATTCAAAATAATTCACGCATATGCCAATTCTTTTGTTGCATATCCAGTATGGCCCTGACATTGAGCCTCTTTTGTTCAGGACGCGCGGATTTTATATTTCTAACTTTGAAGTTGCAATTTTCAAGCTTTTCAAACTGACTTTGAAGCAGAGTGTCTATAGGTTATACATGCTCTTAGACTTTTCTTGATTTATATTCCACGCGCAATGACACCTTACACTCTTTGGTTCAAAGTAACTTAACAAAATTTGAATTATAATTTCTAGATTTGATTTTGATTTTATTTAGATTTTATAAGTTTAAGTCAATTTGTGCATTGTTCCAGAAAAGACAAGAAGCTAACAATACATTTTTAATTGGGAACCCTGAAGTCTATATAAATCTTTAGGTTTCTGTCGTTTTCGGCCTCGGACCATCGGTTCCGTATGGGAGGCCTTCGGTTGGCATGCTCCATAGCCTGGGGGGCGGGCGCGCACACGAAGCCTGTGGACGAAACCTCCTCTCGCTTTTTAGGTGGTAATAGATAGATTAGCCAAAGATTTATGAAGTTTGGTTGAGCAGAAGTTTAATTTGGTTTTAATTGTGTCGGATACCAGAAAATGGGGTACCCCAAGCAAAGATCGAAAAACTGCTCAGACCCTAAGAACAGAACCAACGGAATAAACAAACGAGGTCTCGGCCAAAATCTCCGATTCGCCCGAGACCCCATCGTCGAGCCCCATCAGAAGCGAACGATTCTCCGACTCGCCCGAGACCGCCTCGCCGAGGCCCCCTCGTCGAGGCCCCCTCGCCCGGGGTCTTGGAAGAAGTGTCGATTCTCCGATTCGCGCGAGGCCGGCTCGGCACCAGCCCCGTGACCGCCTCTTCGACCAAACTGCTCTGACCGAACGTCGCATCCAAGCGCCCAACCACTCCGACAGACGCACGATGGCACAATCTGGTAGTAGTGACCCGACTACACGCCATCGTGTCAACCTCCTGCCATCTCTGACGGCCTGAGGCGGGGGTTACCGACCACCGTCTTTGCGCCTAACTCCTGCACCAAGGACATCGCAACGTGGGGAGTCAGAACAGGTTCCTGTAGCCTCGGAATTAGTGGACCGACCGCTCCGGCTCGCCCGAGCCCCCTCGACAGGGCCTCGGATTCACTGATCTTACTCCACCTCGCCCGTCCGCCTCGCCCGAGACCCCCTCGGAAGGGCCTCGGACGAATTGGCCGCGCTCCGCCTCGCCCGAGGCCGGGCTCGTCCCACAACCTCGTCGCCTTCGCCTCAAAAGTCTCTCTGGCAAGCTGTCACATCCGATTAATGCGCTCAGCCGCACCCGCTACGTAAGCCACGATCGGCAGTGCGCTGCAACAGGAGCGATGGGACAACGGTCAGATCACCTTTTTTACCATCCCTTACTGACAATACAGGTACCGTATCCTGTAGGCACACGTCTCGCACTATTCTGCCTGACGGCCGCTGAGACCCGCATCTCGCACTGGTCACTTCTCGGGCCTCGACGGCACGCGAGCCCTCGGCACAACAGGCCTCGGCACGATCGGCTACGATGGCCGCCGAGCCTCTGCAATCCACCAAGTCAACAAATGCACAGCATGTTACTTGCAGTGGAGACCATACCGATTAGACATCTACGGGAACTCCCACGACAATGCCATGCTGCTCCAGGAGTAAATACGTCATCGATAGTCCGCTCCACGTGTAGCTCTCTTATGTACTCCTGGTTTCCTCCCTGCGGCTATAAAAGGAGGCGGCCAGGACCGTTTCTAGGGACGGCAGATAGAGTCACGAACACTCGCACGAACAACACGCCGCATTCTGTAATTCATATCACCTCCCCTCACAGAGACTTGGGACGAACTCCCTCTCTTGCCTAGCTTGTAACCCCCAACTACGAGCACCCTGGTTCAAGGAATACAAGAACATCTTCTCAGACTGGACGTAGGGCATCCATTGCCCGAACCAGTATAAACCTTGTGTCTCTTTGCATCACCATCCGGAATTGGGAGCACGCAGCACAAATTCACTAGTCGGTTAAGGACCCCTGGTTCCGAAACACCGATAGTTGGCGCGCCAGGTAGGGGCCTCTGCGTGTCAGCTTAGTCATCCCACCAGATTCCGGATGGCAGATCCCGTGCGATCGTTGCATCTTGGGACGATCGTCTGGTTCGGGAGCCTAGAATTCATGTCTCTAGGGCATGAGTACGACATGGTACTCCTCTCACCCAGAGCGCCATCAACCGACGACGACATCATGCATCGGCGGCCCCAGCACGAGCAGACGCCGCCCGCCGCCGCTCTCCCAAGCTTCGCCAAAGCGCCGTGGGCGAGTCCACCCTAACACCGCAAGCAAGTCTGAACACCGATCATGCTCCACTGAATCCCATACCCCAGCTGCATGCGCAGGTCCTCCTGCATGGGACCTGTCCGCTTTAAGCCTCGGCAGGGGAAAAGGGCGGTGGCGCACAACGACGCCCCCCATCATCAAGCTTTGTCTCGCCTCCTCCCGAGGAGCCAGCTTTAAGGCGAGCCGGCGCGGCGGCGCCATCCCCGTACCCTTTCGGGCTGACCAATGTCGCCGCCTCCTACGCCACCGCCCTCGTCTCCATTCATCAACGTCACGCCCATAACCCCATAGTCACAACTCCAATCCACCCCCACTCTGACTCCTCGGAGGAGGACGAGGCGTGGGTTGGAGCAAACTTCTCCGGGATTCACGACCCTGAG